AATCAATGCTTCGCCTCCTCCTTCTATTATTATTATTATTATTATTATTATTATTATTATTATATACACAAGATTAATACACAGCAAACAAGATCAGTATGCTGGCTTTTGTATTTGATCACACTTCGGACACTTCTTAAGACTTGACTGTTTGGTTGTGCATTTAAGTAAAGTGATCAGATCTAATTTGCCAAATAATCACTGTTGTACGCTTTTATGTTGAATGTTTTTATATTGTGTAAGTGCTATTTTAAATTATAAGTCGCTCGGTGCACCTTGGTGGAGAGCAACTAATTAAGAAATAAAGTGAAGTGAAGTGAAGTGTCTAGGACTATGTGATGTATCAGCTAATAATTGGTGCAGAACCGAGTAGGGTGGCCTTTTGCAGCTGATAGATAGTAACTTTACTAGCGCATTGTTTTTAAGTACAGACCACGGTCTTTAGGCACTGTACCCAGTGTGCCGATCACCACTGGGACCACCTTTACTGGCTTTTGTCAGAGTCTTTGCAGTTATATTATTAAATTCCATTATTATTATTATTATTATTATTATTATTATTATTATTATCCTGCTATATATCTCTAACAAGAGATCACCTCGCTGGAGTAAAAAGTTGGTTTTGACTTTCGTGAAATGAACAAAAATATTATTTCGGGAAGCGTTTGTCAGGATTGGTAGGGTTTCACCACAAAAAAGCTTTAAGAATCTGGCAGCTGGCCGATGATTCCCTCCTCACAATCTCTGAGGATGCTTGCCCTAGATGCGGGCGAAACGGCAGGAGAGAATGCTACTGGAACATGGCCATACAGCCCGGGGAAACTCACAGCAACCCAATGATTCCGGCCATGCCTTAGACAACATATCCCCTCCCTTGTTGCCCACTAAAAAGCTGACGGAATTGATTAAAAAGTAATGAAGCACAAAAGATCTGATACAGAAAAAAGACCTGATTCGTTGGGATGAAAAACTGGCCCAGAATTACTTGTGAGGTTTGTGTGGTAACAATCTGAAATGCTTGTTTACCCTCGTTAGTCTTTTGAATCAATGGGATTCTGCTGATTCAATGGGTCTAACTCTAGATCAAACCCAAAAGCCTGGAATTTCCTCAGTGTCAGTAAGAGAAGTAGCTTCTGCTTCTTTAAAGGCATATTGGCTTACTTCGAGTTCAGCCCCAACTAACATATGTCAAGAAGAAGAACAGCAACACATTGTGAGAAGACAGAAAGAGGAAAAAACGACTCGGATTGAAAAATAAAACATTTTATTTGAGAAGTTTCAGACTGTATTTCCAAGAGAGAGGGAGCGGGGTCTGCCGAGATCATGGAGCCTCACAACAAGTCCAAAATACAAGAACAGGGAAGCGGGTAGAACAGGCATGGGCAAACTTGGGCCCTCCGAGAGTTTTGGACTTCAACTCCCACCATTCCTAACAGCCTCAGGCCCTTTCCTTTCCCCCTTCAGCCGCTTAAGCTGGGAGTTGAAGTCCAAAACTCTTGGAGGGCCCAAGTTTGCCCATGCCTGGGGTCGAAGGTAGAGATGAAACCAACACTGTCAAAAACTTGACAAAACCCCCTCAGTTTGCAATTGTTAATGAAAAGTTTTCCAAGGGTTGGTGCAGGCGGCTTCCTTGTCAGCGAATCCGCTCCGGGTTTTAGTCTCGAACTTTAAAGAAGTTGTCCAAGGTGCTGAAGCCAATCTAGCTCCGCGTTTCGGGAAACTTTCGTTCAAGTTTAAATTTTTAAAAAATCCCAGGGAAAAGGACTGAATTTAAGACATCCAACTAGTAGTTCAGTGAAAGCCTGCCTTACTCCCCGAAAGAATCCCTTTCCAGCCGGTGAATTCGGGAGTCGAAGGAGAGGAAGGGACGAAACTGCGCCAGACCCTCAAATCTCTCTCTATCCATACTAAAGAAGGAATGCAGTTTGACACCACTTTAACTGCCCTTGTTCAGTGCTATGGAATCCTGGGAATTGCAGAGAAGGCTCAAGACCTTGCACAACTACAACTTCCACGATTCTATACCATTAAAGTGGTGCCAAGCTGCGTGCGTTCTGTCGTGAAGATACAGATTCGCGATTCTTTCCGATTACGTGTATAGGAATGAATCCCCATTGAGTTGCTGTGAGTTTTCTGGGCTGCGTGGCCATGTTCCAGAAGCATTCTCTCCTGACGTTTCGTCCCCATCTATGGTAGGCATATTCAGAGGTTGTGAGTTCTGTTGGAAACTTGGCAAGTGAGGTTTGTATATCTCTGGACTACAACATTCACACGTATAATAATAACAATAATACAACATTTATTTATACCCCGCCACCATCTCCGCAAGGGACTCAGAGCGGCTTACATGAGGCCAAGCCCAACAACACATCAACACTTGCCTCAAACAGACAAGGGTTCTTTCTTTCTCCCACTCTGGACATTTCACGGATATATAAACTTTTTGTGTGTGTCAGGAGCGACTTGAGAAACTGCTGGTGTGAGAGTATTGGCCGTCTACAAGGACGTTGCCCAGAGGACGACCGGATGTTTTGATTTCTTTGTGGGAGAGTTCTTTCATATCCCCGCATGGGGAGCTGGTGCTGACAGAGGGAGCTCAACCCACTCTCCCCGAATTCGAACCTCTGAGTTGTCGGTCATCAGTCCTGCCGGCATATAAACCCCACTTGCCTAGTTTCCAACAAACGTCACAACCTCTGAGTATGCCTGCCATAGATGTGGGCGAAACGTCAGGAGAGAATGCTTCTGGAAATATAGCCATACAACCCGGAAAACTCACAGCAACTCGGTGATTCCGGCCATGCCTTGGACAACAAATCCCCATTGAAAGATTGGAACGCCCTCCCTCTCAAACGGGGATGTTCATCTTTTGGTTTGTTTATCTCCTCCCTCTTTCTCTCCCTTCCTCTGAAAAAGCAAAGAACCTTATTTACTGGAGAGGGACTCGCTTACAAAGAAGACCATCTTCTAAAATATATTATTAACATTGAAATGTTAGGTTTTGAAAATCAGGGAGAGATCTCAGGCAACATGCTCGACCTAGGGCAGGGATAAGCAAACTTGGGCCCTCTGGGTGTTTTGGACTTCAACTACCGGCTGTTAGGAATTGTGGGAGTTGAAGCCCAAAACACCCGGAGGGCCCAAGTTTGCTTATCCCTGCCCTAGAGTCATCAAATTACAGAATCGCATCCCGTCCAACCCCATTCTGCCACGCACAATACTTTTATTCCTGTATTTAAATATATAGATATGTATGTCTCGGTCTAGATCTCTCTGCTTTTCTTTTCTTTTGGTTTCCTTCTACAGTTGCAGTCTGCCGGTCTCTCTGTGTGCTGGTGGGGTCCCGGGCCCCCTCGACACTGACCATTTAAAGGCAGCTTCAAAACGGTATTGAAGGAAGCGGCTCCCCGGTGCAGGGGGTTTCAAGGGATGTTCCGCAACCAGCTTGAGGCCCAGATGGCACGCAGCCTTGGTGCGCATTAGGGACTTCCTTTCACGCGCCTTTGTGGGAGTTTGTTGCCCAAGGAAGCCAACCCAACAGGGACCTCCGAAGAAGCTTCTCTCCTGTGTTGTCGAAGGATTTCGTGGCCGGAACGACTGGGTTGCTGTGAGTTTTTCGGGCTGTATGGCCATGTTCCAGAAGCATTCTCTCCTGACGTTTCGTCCACATCTATGGCAGGCATCCTCAGAGGTTGTAAGGTTTGCATCTATGGCAAGCATCCTCACAACCTATGAGATCTATTGGAAACTAGGGTTAGGGGGGATTCAATGGAAACATTCACATCTACCTCAAACAGACAAGAGTCCATTCTTTTTCCTACCCTGGACATTCCACAGATAGATATATATATATATAGATAGATAGATAGATAGATAGATAGATAGATAGACAGACAGACATACATAAACCCAATTTTCCTAGTTTCCAACAGATCCCACAACCTCGGAGGATGCCTGCCATAGATGATGATGATGATGATGATGATGATGATGATGATGATGATGATGATGATGATGATGATGATGATAACAACATGAAGGTGAAACGTCAGGAGATAATACAGCCCGGAAAACACACCAACCCAGTAATTCCGGCCTGAAAGCCTACGACAGCACAGGAAAGAAGCTTCTTCCAGGTCCCTGCTGGGTTGTTTTCCTTGTCACCAAGGAAAACAAGGGAAAACGACATATATATTAAGTCTAGTCGGATACGACTAGACTTAATATATATGTCGCCTACCTTATTATCTCATGCATGAAGGGACACACAATCTCTTTTTCTGCATTGTCTAATGTATATGTGTATATACACACACATACACATTTCTGCACACACACATATAATGAAATCTCTCTCTCTCTCTCTCTCTCTCTCTATATATATATATATATATATATACACACACACTAGCCATCCCCTGCCATGCGTTGCTTGGCTCAGTCTGTATATATGTGTTTTGTGTGTGTATATATGTGTGTATATGTGTATACATGTGGTTTTGCGCATGCGTTGTAATGTATTTTTGGGGCTTTTTAAGTCTCTACCGCTGTGTTTTTCAGTGTTTTTATGAGTGATGGTCACTCGTTAGCCTGATAGGTGTATTGTGTCCAAATTTGGTGTCAATTCCTCCAGTGGTTTTTGAGTTATGTTAATCCCACAAACGAACATTGCATTTTTATTTATATAGAAGATATATAATGCATATATATAATATACATATACATACATATATATATATATGCAGGAAAGGAGATTGTGTGTCCCTGCATGCATGGCAGAATACGGTTGGCGAAATATATAGGGTAGGCATAACCAAAGGTATTGTCTCTATATTTAATATATCCTTTCTAATATTATATCCTGCAGGAAATATGTATGCAGGAAAGGAGATTGTGTGTCCCTTCATGCATGGCAGAATAGGATTGTAGACATACATATTAAGTCTAGTTGTATCCGACTCTGGACAGATATATATATACGTCTCTAGCTGTATACCTACAAGTGTGTCCCTTTGCCTTTCTTTCTTTCTTTCTTTCTTTCTTTCTTTCTTTCTTTCTTTCTTTCTTTCTTTCTTTCTTTCTTTTTGCTGGTGGAAGCGTCGAAGCCCACGGCGGAGTCTTTCCTGGGCCAGGAAAAAAGCAGAGGCGCACGAATCTCCTTCGGAGTTGGATCCCAGTTGGGCCATCTAGGTTTTGATGCATTTATCTCTCTCTCTCTCTCTCTCTCTGATGTCTCTGTATACCTGTACACAGGTCTGTCTCTTCTCCACGAAAGAGTCCCCTGCTGCGGGGCAGGTCTCCTTGCCGAGTTGCGCGTCTCCCACGCGTGTCACTCTCCCTCTGCGTGCGCCCGTGGGTCCGTGTCCCGGAGGCCCCGGAGGCTCAGTGGACGGCGGCGTACTTCATGCGCTTCTGCTTCTGGCGCTGGTTGCAGAACCAGACGCGGACGACGTTCTTCTTGAGCTCCAGCTTCTCGGCGATGGCGGCGATCTTCTCGGAGGAGGGCCGCGGCTGGAGCGCGAAGTAGGCTTCGAGGGAGCGCTTCTCGGGCGCGGCGATGGAGGTGCGCTTCCGCTTCCGCTCCGCCCCGCCGCCCGCCTGCCCGCCGATGCCAAGGCCGAAGAGCCCCCCGTCGCCGCCGGCCTTGGCGTTGCTGCTCCGCTGCCGCTGGGCCGCCTCGGCCTCGGCCTCCTCCAGCCAGGCGCGCAGGACGGGCTGCAGGGCCACCATGTTGTTGTGCGAGAGCGTCAGCGACTCGAAGCGGCAGATGGTGCTCTGGCTGAGGGAGCCCACGCCGGGCAGCTTCAGCTCCGCCAGCGCCGCCCCGACGTCCGCCTGGGTCACACCGAGCTTGATGCGCCGCTGCTTGAAGCGCTCCGCGAAGGCCTCCAGCTCCCGCGGGTCCGAGTCCACGTCGCCCAAGCAAGGCGGAGGAGGAGGCGGGGGAGGGGGCGGAGGGGGCTGCGCCATGCCAGCCATGGCAGCCGGGTGGAGGTGGCCCAGGTGCGGGTGCAGCGCCGGGTCGGGGCCGCCCATCAAAGCGGAAGGCGTGAGGTGCTCCAGCAGGTCGCCGTCGAGGCCTTGGTGGGGGTGAGGGTGGTGCGGGTGGTGGTGGGGGTGCTGGAGGGGGTGCTGGGGGTGCCCTCCGCCGCTGCTCATGGCCTGGAAGGGGTGCTGCTGCTGCTGCTGGCTCTTGCCCTGCGACGAGGAGGACGAGGAGGACGACGAGGAGGAGAGCAGGTCCGCCGCCACCAGCAGGCTCTCCTCGAAGCCGCCGAATATATGGCCCTGGAGCTGCGAGGGGGAGAAGCGCGGAGGAGGAGGGTCAGTGGGGAATACATCCTGTCAAGTCGGCAGCCGGGCACGGTTCCCCCCTCGCTCGCCCGCTCGCCCGCTCGCTCTCTCAGTGTGTGTGGAAAGGAGCCGAGATCCCCCCACGAAGCTCAGGTCATAAAAATTAATACAGAGGCGGAGAGAGGGAGGGAGGGAGGGAGGAGGGGAGGACTAGACTGGAGGGAGGAGAGGCAGGCGAGCGCTTGCTCATCAAAGGTAAAGGTAAAGGTTTTCCCCTGGCATTAAGTCCAGTCATGTCCGACTCTGGAGATTGGTGCTCATTTCCATTTCTACGCCGAAGAGTCGGCGTTGTCCGTAGACACCTCCAAGGTCATGTGGCCGGCATGACTGGCATGACTGCATGGAGCGCCCTTACCTCCAAAGTCAGGTGGCCGGGATGAGCGCCTTGGCATGTTTTTGAACTGCTGGGTTGGTAGAAGCTGGGGCTAACAGCGGGAGCTCACGCTCCCCGCATTCGAATCCGCGACCTCACGTCATACCACAAGAGAATGAATCCACTTAAAATCCGGTTTCTGCTTCCTGCAGAATTCTGGAGTTTGTAGTTTAGTGAAGCTGTGAAAGGAGGCAGAAACCGGATTTAATGTGGATTCGTTCTCTAGTGTGATGAGGTGATCAGTCAGCGAGTTCAGCAGCTCAGCGCCACCGGGGGCTCCCTATTCAACAAAACATCCAACCCAAGCTGTCCAAGCTCAGCGGAGAGAGAGCGCGAATTGCGCCTGAAGGAGCGACCGAGCGACCTACCTGCGGGGCCGAGAGGCAGGCGTGGAGGCCCGGCGGGAACTTGGGGGCCTCCGGCAGCGGGAGGCCGAAGGGGTGCTTGGCGTTCATGCCCAGCATCGTGGCGGCGGCGGCGGAGGAGGAGGAAGAGGCGCACCTGCCGGCAGGTAAGCAGCAGCAGCAGCAGCAGAAGCAGCCCCTGGCACCCGCGCGGGCTGTCCTCTCTCTCAGAGTGCGCGGCTCCCAGCGCCGCTCCCACTCCCACTCCGCCGCCCCATCTCGGCTCCTCCGCTCAGCTTACCTCGCCCTGCCTTGCCCTGCCTTGCCCTGCCCTGCCTGGGTGCCTCGGAGGGGAAGGGAGCGCCTTTGCGCAGGCGCACTCCTGCGCCTGGGGAGGAATGGGACCCCCTCCCACCCTCCCTCCCTCCTCCTCTGGGCAGGAGGTGTGCGAGCACCCTTCTGCCCCGAGGAGGAGGAGGAGGAGGAGGAGGAGGAGGGCTCGGTCCCATCCCTCCCCCGGCGCTTGACTGCGCCTGCGCACAGGAGCGCCGCTCTCCGGCGAGGCTCAGTGCTGAAAGGTCTCAGACCTGCGGGGATTCCACCAATCAGGGAAGAGCAGAACAGGGCGCCCAAAGCTCCTCCTCCTCCTCCCGCACCACACTTTAGGGTGGCCCCAAATACAGTGCCTTATAAAATCCAGATTGTCTGCTTTGATCCCGATTACTCAAGTAGGCATGGGCAAACTTGGGCCCTCCGGGCGTTTTGGACTTCAACCCCCACTATTCCTAACAGCTGGTAGGAATAGTGGAAGCTGAAGTCCAAAAAACCTGAAGGACCCAAATTTGTCCGTGTCTGTGAGAGGCTATGGAACAATTGAAGTGGTGTCTTATCAAACTACAAATCCCAGGATTGCACTGGATGAAGCCCTGTCAATTAAAGTGGAATCACAGCACTGTGGCTGTATACAGTCCATGGAAAGAGCAGAGACCAATGCTCAAAGGCCCAGGATCAAACCAGTGTTTGCTCATCATCTTGGCAGTGGCCTATGGATGATCTTGGGCAAGTCACACACTCTCAGCCTCAGAGAAAAGCAATGGCAGGCTCCTCTGAATAAACCTTGGTAGCCTTTCTTGGTTTTAGTGCAGACATGGGCAAACTTGAGCCCTCCAGGTGTTCTGGACTTCAACTCCCACTATTCCTCTCTCAGCCTCAAAGGAAGGCAAAGGCTAGCTTCTCTGAATAAACCTTGCCAAGAAAACCCTAAGATAGGGTTGTCATGAACTGGAGACAACTTGAAGATGTGTACAACAACAAGAAATAAACACAACAGCAACACCAACATCAACAACAATGTTATGAAGGCTACGGAGGTTGCTCTGCCTTACTCTTGTCCAGGAAGGTCTTAGAGTGATTGCAAACATTTCAGTTCCACAAATTCTCCCGTTGGGCATAAGATGAGGGGGAGGAAAAGGGAAACTAAGAAAGGAAGGATAATATCCCATGACATGGACAATTCTTGCTCATGCACGCCTTGGTATTCCTTCAAAATCCAAGTTCATGAACTGCCTTTCCTTGCTTTCTCCAGCCTTCCTATTCAGACAACCCATTCATATCAGACGACTTAAGTTGACTCTACAGTATATAATTAATGCAGTTTGGCATTACTTGAAGTGTAATGCTTCAGTGCTGTGGAATCCTGGGAGTTGTATATTAGTGAGGCACCAGTGCCTTTTGGCAGAGAAGGCTAAAGTCCTTGTAAAACTGCAGCTCCCATAAATCCATCATATTGAGCTGTGCAGTTCAAGTAATGCCAAATTACATGAATTCCACAGGCGTACCTGAAGAGTCACCATCTTCCAGACATTTCAAATGAAGATGCATCTTCATTAGAGTTATTGCAGTTTGATTCCACTTTCACTGCCATGGCTCAAGGATACAGGGTCTTTAGCCTTCTCTGCCTAAGACCGTTGGTGCTTCACCAAACTACAACTCCCAGAATTCCATACCACTGAGCCAGAGCAGTTAAGTATGTTGTATCCCGCACCTAGGTGTGTCCACACTGCAGAATTAGAACAGCTTGGCACCATATCAACTGCCATGTCTCAATGCTGTTATTTGTAATTCTGTGAAATATTAATCATGCTCAGTCAGAGAGCTCTGGTATCACAATAAACTGCAAATCCCAGGATTCCCTATGATGGAGCCAAGACTACCACAGTGATGCCACCCTGCTATCTTTCTGCAGTGCAGATGAGATTCCAGTCTGGGGAGAGGATTCAGCGGGTTGCAGAGCTCCTTTAAAGTTCAGGCTAAAATCCAGACAGGATCTGCCCTCTTGCTGTCATGGAAGCCACTGGCCAGGATTCCCTCTTTCACCAGGAGATCCACAGCTACCAGCCACATTTTCATTCCTATCCTCCTCCAGGCCTTTCTATGGGCTTCTAATTGGCTGCTATGGAGTGCGAGCATTGATTTGATGCCTTGTGGTTCTTCTTTTCATATATTCTTAGTATCACCAACACCAATATATGGCACCAATATATGACACCTCACTAAGGTGTTTCTTATGAAGTTCATGATCCTTTGCTAATCTTATTTTATACACTATACCTTTGTTAAACTACATTACTTTATCAATAAGAGCCAGCATGGTTTAATATTGAACTGGCACTTGGAAGATTCTAGTTGCCACAAAACCTTGACGTTCACTTTTGGCAAGCTTGTCTCAGCTGACTTATATTACACAGCTATTGTGAAGGTAAGGTCACTTCATTAAAAAAACCCACTGAATTTCTAAAATATTTTTGCGCAATTCCAGATTGCAGCAAATTATTTTGCTCGGGGTTTGAGTTTTCAGAACCAAAATGTGTCAGATCCATCTGGTGGGTTCCGCGGTATAACCCAGTATTCATTATATAGTTGATGAGAAACTGAAGCAGGGTGATGGTAACATAAGAAGAGCTGCTTGCTACCGAAAAGATCTGGGTCAGCATTTCTGATGCTCACCTCTCTAAAATGTCTCAGCAGGGTGATAACCTTCCTGCTTTAAAATGTCTAGAACTGTTGTTTTCAAATTTGTGCCACAAATGTTGTAGCCTGGGCATTTTGGGAGTACGACAGCATTTCACTTTGGGATCTTACAGGTCTACAATCATGAAAGAACACTTTTCTATTGTGTTACAACATTTGATCCAATTCCCAAATACATTTTGCTTGGAAGCAAGTTTTCATAGGTACAGTGGACCTTGGTAATTTCATCTCTAGTCTTTGAAAGCTATCTGCCTAAATAGTAAAGGCTCTAGAGCCTGTCTGATCTTGGAAGCTAAGCAGGGTTAGTCCTAGTTAGTCCTGGATGGGAGACCCTCAACAAATACCACATGCTGTAGGCTATATTTCTGAGGATGAAACTGGGAAAACTACCTCTGAGTTACCCTTGTCCAAGAAAACACCATGAAATTCAAGGGATTGCCATACCTCAACATACCACTTAAAGGCATGCATGCACACATAAATGAGAGCCACTATCTGATGTCTAACAAACAGCAAATTCAATACCTTTCACCCATTTGAAATGTGTGCCAAACCTTTGAAATGTATCAGCATTTCATTTTGGCTCTTATTCATACCAGACAAATTTTAGCTAGTTCAGCTTGTCTGATAAGTTACTGGGGTACAGAAGACAGCTGATGATGTTATACCCAACCAGGAACAGGGCAAGAGTTTGTGATTTCTCCAGCAATTTGCTGTTCTTCTTTATAGGAATGCTTGGAAAGTGCAAAGCTTGGAATGTAACTTGTGGAAACAAATTACTGTAGTTAATGGTTGAACTGGGACTAGGAAGACTCAAATTCTAGTCCCCACAAAGCTTTGAAGCATTCATCTGAGTACTCAACAGTGCAGAAAGAAACCTGTTGAGTTGCTGAGTTAGTGTTGTGTCATCAAAAAAGACAGGGAAATACTCTCTGGCTCCCCACATGGTTCCCTCCCTCTCAATCTTTGAGGCATGAAGCAAAGCATCTCCCCTCCTCCAAAGTATCTCGCCCAACTTGAATAGTCCATGCCCTGTGCTGCTGTTTGGAGCAGCTAGCCTGGCCAGGCAGCCCTCTCCTCACAGGTAACAATAATAAAACATTACAATTTTAGAAAACAATAAACAGCATAAAATCTGTTTGAAAAAAAGATACAAAAGTAAGATACATAAAGGACAGAGCACACACCCCTGAGAGTATGAGACTTGTAGTAAGAACATGAACTGTAGTGATCACATCATGTAAACCCTGGCAGAAGGGATTGCTTGAAGCCAAGGGGTGACAGTTATGGAGGGTCACAGTTTCAGGCCATCCTTCTTTGGATTCGCGTGATGAAAGTGCTCTCTTCCCCTGGCTTTCACTCCCTGAGAGCTCCTGGCAAAATGACAAGGCAGCCAAGGGAGCAGAGGGTCTGTTGACAAGCTTGCCATGTGCCATCACTTCCCATCAAGGCCAAGAGCCAGGCAAATGGAAGTGGAACATGAACGGGTCTTTGAAAGGCAGGGAGACAGAGTGAAGCTGCTTCCTGCCATCAGTGGGGAAATCGGTGTGTAGTCGCACAGCTCCATGCCTTGATTTATGATAAAAAATTTAAAGGAAATCATTTATATTTCAAAGGACCTAAATAGCTGCATGAAAGTTTTATCTGAAGTGGCACTGTATTTACAGACCATGCTCTAGGTAATTAATAGATGGATAAATTTCAGACTTTTGTTTTCTCTTCTCTTCTCTTCCTTCTTCTACTTCTTAAAAGCACCCTCCTGCTATTTGGGACTTGTGTGTTGCTGTAAATAAATAAAAGGGAAGTGTTGGATTTGAATGCAAGAACCTTTTCTGATGAATAATGCTTGACTTGGCTCGCCTGCTGAGCTTGTTGCTGTTCCCTGCTCTAGTAATGAAACTGACACTTGATCTTCTGAGTTTCATAGATACACCAGAATTTACAATATCCCTTTTCACCAAGTTTCTTGGTTGAGAGATGAAATGGCCAGGAGGCATATTGATTTAGGATCTTAAAGTAAGGCATTATTATTATTATTATTATTATTATTATTATTATTATTATTATTAAATACACAACAAGATTAGTACACAGCAAACAAGATAACTATGCTGGCTTTTGCATTGGATCACACATTGGACACTTCCCAAGTATCTAGGACTGTGTGATATATTGGGGAACAATACATGCAGATCTGAGTAGGGTGGCCTTTTGCAGCAGACAGATGGTAATTTTTTCAGCACCAATTGTTTTTAAGTGCAGGCCAAGGTATGGCACTGCACTCAGTGTGCCAATCACCACTGGAACCACCTTTACTGGCTTGTGCCAGAATCTTTGCAGTTCAACCTTTAAGTCCTCATATCGT